AGCTATCTATAGTTTATACTTTATTGTTACCAAATATCTGTTATTGTCTTATAGAGCATATTATATAATCTGCATCATATAATATATAGTGATATTATTACAAAAATCTGTGATTAGTGGCTAAAGACGCTATTATTCCCAGTTTGGAAGTATGTAAAAGATGTGGTGAGTTGGTGGAAGCTCAATAACCTATATCAGAGAGAAAGACCCATGCATAGGGTACAGATTCATAGGACAGCAAAGGCATATTTGGTATCCTTGTGCTAAAGGGAAGAAGGAGAAATTAGGGAAAAAAACTTAACTTTTTTACCCATTTTATCAAATGAACTTACAGATTAAAAAAAACCGAAGTACACTGCACCCTTGTGCAGCTGTGTTGGATTAACTATTAAGTACTGCAATCAGAATATTGCCTTCAAGTTAATTCCTTCCTTTCAGATGTCAGTAGTCTATTTACAATATTTTGATTTAATGTTAAGTTGTTGTCATCTACTTAGTTGGTTATTAGATACTGTAGACTTGGTTCTGTGGGGAAAAATACTATTAAGGTGATGACAGCTACTACATATCCATTGAGCAACTTCGATTCTAGTTCCATAATGTGCAAACTAATTTCTGACCTAAAACTAAGACTGTGCCAGAACCACAAATAGTGGGCAGGATGTTACCACCACACATACTCTCACAGTTTAGAAGGAAGTATAAAACTTGCACACATATAGTGAAGCTGTGACATGCTTTGGGAACTTCTTCTGAAAGACTTAGCTGACATCTAGCGGGAGGAACAGGAAAAGTTAAAAATTCAACAGTGAACAGAAATAGTTTATCTTAAAAATATAAAATTCAATTTTTTGTAAATAACAGGTGACAAATTCAATAAATGCTTTGAACACAGCATCTAGTAAATGTAGTAAAACGTGAATGGGTAAAAACAAGTATTTCTCTCTAGTATATTACCTTTATCTACAGATTATCTTCATGTGGATGATTCAGTTGAATTATGTACATTAATAAACCCATTAAGAGATGCCATGAGTTATTCTGATTGTTACAAAATACAACATGGTACAGATTCATAACTAATTGACTCGGTGTAATAAATGTTGCAATCTTAATTCCATTAATATGCACGCTGCATGACTAGAATTTATTTCAAGTGACATCAAAAAAAGGAACAAAGCTTCAAGTTAGTGTGATAACATAAAGATGGCAACATAAAATAAAAACAAAACTGTCATTCACTCTCCCTGTCCAGTGACTGTTTTACATCCTTCAAGACTGCTACATTTGTTGCAACTTCAACTGGATAAAGAATCAGCACCAACCCTTTCAAACTGGTGGTCTGGGTAAAGCCCTGGTTGTACTCTGGGTATGCCGTATGAACTTTATAGGAAACAAACATAGCAATAACAAATCTTAAAGAACAAAAATCCATTAGGAATTTCATTCACATAGTCAAGGAGAAAAATAACTTCCAAAAGATATGGTACAGAAGTATAGGATACTTCCTATTCCTAAAGAGTTAAGAGATCTCTCACTTATAAGCCACTATGTACACGTTTCAAAGGACAGATTCTGGATAATTTTGCCTGCTTTCACCTTCAGAGGACAGTTTAATAATTTATTTTTGAGAACCTTCCCCTACATATACCTTCCAGGGCTCCTTAAGATTTTTCTAGGCATTTTAGAAATAACAAAGAATAAGGGTCTCACTCCTAGTCTTGTACAGAGAAGATCAACCTTCTTCATAATACAAGATATGGGATTTGGATCATTTTGCAAGAGAACTGGTTCAGAGAAATTTCTGGTTGTAGATTCCTTCAGTGCATAGTACAAAATCACATTTAACCCAAGCTTTTCTAATAATTGGGATTCCTACCACCATATTTTTCTGTTATACCCTTAAAGAATGAAATGCAGCAAGTTATTACATTAAACAACGACACAATTTTTCTTCCTTATGCATTCCCATATGAAATTTTATAATGTAAAGTTCCACAGGTGCAGCAGTATATAGTTGTTTGTTTTTTTTTTTAAATCTTAAAATAAATCTTTCCCTTCCTTCAAGTAATGAAAAGCCACAAGAAAGAGAGCACACAGACAATGTCTGGCCTTCTCTAATGCATTCCATTTTACCAGTGCAGATTCTGGTAACATAAAGAATAAACAAAAATCATGTCCCTTTGCTACTATATTTAAATATTCAGACTGAATCGATTTCAGGGAAAAGCAATAATTTTTCAACTAATCACAACATCCATGATAAAATCTTTTGAAATTAAAGACAAAATAATAAAGGCTAACAACAGAGATGCAGAGAAAAAAATATTGTTCTTTAGAATGTTTGAACATCAGCGACACAGGAGAAGGAACCTCTTGAAGTAGACAGGCTATTAAAAAAAGGGACTAAAAAAGTTTAAAATGACAGCTTTTCATTTAGAAAACTACTAAAACTTAGAAGCAGAACTAACAATTTATGATTTGCCAAAGCAGCAGGACCATGTAGCAGCTTTTGACCTTCAGATTTTACCCACCATAACAAATAACATGCTGCAGTAAGATTTGATGTTCTCTTCACAAAATTAATAACTCAGTGTTGACCTTCTTTGGACACAGGACGTATTATGAATATAGAAATTCAATATTTTCAGCTGTTTTTTAGATCATTAGTCTGGCACTATATAGAAATTTTCACATGGCATTCTACATGTTCCAGAGAAATAAACAGCTCCAAAACAACTGTACAAACAAAAAAGATGCATCTATGACGGGTCACATTCTAGTACAAGCAATTCATTGTCAAGGACATACAGAAAAAGAACAGGAACACTACTCAGATGACATAGCATTCAGAAGTCATGGAAGCATGTGATACTATAATTTATTCATCAGTACTATATACCACAGCCTGCGTGTAGACTCTGTTTCAGGAAACCCTTAAAACACTAATTGCTGGAAATGGTATACCAGGGCAACATTTCTCAGTAATTTAGTCACTATTCATCTTTTATGAACCTGATGCCTTACACCAGGCTGGGCTGAGGTCCAAAAATTAAGCAGCACACATTTAAGGAAGGGGCATGGAGCAGTGTTAGTAGAACCAACAAGGAAGAGACAATGAAGAAAATCAGACTTGCCAAAACAAAAAGAAATAAAGCAAACCGCACCATACGGGAAGAGGGCATTACCCTTACACTCTGTATTTCTTATATGTGTGCTTGCTTGCATTTCCCTGTGCTGACTTTTAAGAGATGCTGCACACACCAGACAGTCTTTGCCTCTCCTGTCCACTCCACAAGCTGCTACCATCATTCCACTCCTGTCTACCCAAAGACCTCACTGAGCTTTCTCAACTTCGTAGGGTTTACGTCCATTATGTCCTGGCCTTTGTGCAGACACAAAGACACAAATACTCTGTGTAATACAAACACTGTACGTGTACTAGTCTGATGATGGCTATATGTGAGCTGCATGACAGGGTGAATGTATCAATATAATGGATCATCAGACTCCCTGTGTTAGTAAATATGAGGTTTTCCATTCTATTTGCCTTAATGATGACAAAGAAAATACAGAACGTTGCATATTTAATGACTTGTATACTAGGGACTTAGCATATGGACCTGCATTAGAACACTGTGCAGTTATGTTTAAGAATGTATCACAATTAGCAAGAAAAGGAAGATGCTGATAATTTTTCTTTAAACCACAACTGCTTAACAAGTTCACTTTAAGTTATACTGCCACTTAAGTTCCTGCTTTTATGACAAAAAACTTCCTGTAATATTTCACTTTGCTTAGCAGAGTCTATCGTGCCAAGGGAAAGTGAGTTCTAAGATTAAATTTTGTTATTTCTGATTTTCACAATCAGAGAGTTGGTCAAATTTACACTTACAAAACCAGATATAAAATCATAGAATGGTTTAGGTTGGAAGGGACCTTGAAGACCATCGAGGTCCAACCCCCCGGCCATAGACAGGGGACACCTCCCACTAGACCAGGTTGCCCAAGGCCACGCCCAGCCTGGCCTTAAACACCTCCACGGATGGGGCCTCAACAACCTCTCTGGGCAACCTGTTCCAGTGCCTCACCACCCTCAGAGTGAAAAATTTCTTCCTAATGTTTAATCTAAACCTGCCCTCTTCCAGTTTAAAGCCGTTCCCCCTTGTCCTATCACTACATGCCCTAGTAAAAAGTCCCTCCCCAGCTCTCCTGTAGGCCCCCTTTAGGTACTGGAAGGCCGCAATAAGATCTCCCTGGAGCCTTCTCTTCTCCAGGCTGAACAGCCCCAACTCTTTCAGCCTCTCCTCATAGGAGAGGTGCTCCACCCCTCTGATCATCTTTGTGTCCCTCCTCTGGACCCGCTCCAGCAGGTCCATGTCCTTCTTGTGTTGGGGGCTCCAGAGCTGGATGCAGTACTCCAGGTGGGTTCTCACGAGAGTGGAGCAGAGAGGCAGAGTCACCTCCCTTGACCTGCTGGCCACACTTCTTCTGATGCAGCCAAGGATATGGTTGGCCTTCTGGGCTGCGATCATTATATCAATAAAGACTGTCCAATACAAAATTTCAGAGAGTCTCACAAATGGAATCACCATGCTTATTTTTCAGTCTAAAATTACAGAAAATTGCTTCTACGGAAACATGTTTCACTAGGAAAGAGTAGTAAAATGCCAGCGCCTTAATATAATAAGCAAATGTAAAAGTACTGCACTGCTGAATTAGAGCAAAGAATTTAAGAGTACAACAATAAGCAAAACTACAAAGGGGAACCATGTAAGACTGTTTTTTTTCATCATATATGCGTGCATGTATGAATTTTAACTAGGTAAATTTTAACTGACTTGGCAGTCACCTGAACACAACTTTAAGAAAGAAAGAATTAGATTCTTAACATTTGATGTTATATGTTTACACTACTGATGTGTATATGTTTACACTACTGAAATCTGTAAAATGCACTCAAGTTGGGGAAAGGAAAAAAAATCATTACAAAAGTATACCTTTAATGTTTCGATTTCTTCTTTGTGTTCCCTCTTTAAATGCAAAATGGCAGCTTGGTACTCTGTAAAAATAAAAAAGTACATTCCATTAGAGTCAGAAAACACTATGCCATCTTCAGCATAGTACATTTCATATAACACCACTGGGTCCAGAATGCAGATGTAGGTTCTCAAATAGAAGACCTTTTACAATGGTGATGGAAAAGAAAATCTGAACATAGTAACTAGGACTATTTCCTAAATCCACACGACCAGATTTTCCATGGTGTTTCTGAGAGCAGAGGATAAAACAAAGAGGTCTTCCATGCTGAGAGAGGAAAATGGGGAGAAGATACATCAGACTGAAATAACAAAGAGGAATTTTTAGTTTTACTTAGCTTTGCACATAAATGTAGAGCTGATAGGACATTATGACATACACACACGCATGTGCACACACCCACCTGAATTCTAAAAAGCATCCATTAAATACAATTATTTAAACTGAACTGTAAACATACAATAACTATACACAGGCAAATCGGATAAAAGAGCAATCAGAAATACAAACAAAGACTTGGAAAAGTATCCAACAGCAAGAGATACAAAGAGTTCTTTGTCTTAATTCTATCAGATGAAGTTAATTACAGGGTTTAAGTACCTTCACAGGGTACTAAACAGCTCTTCCATTTAGCAAAAATATAACAAAATTGAAAGCATGAAATTTAAAGCCAGAGACATTTAAATCAGCAATGAAAAAATGAGGAGGCTGGGCATCGATTACACAGGTTTAGTGATGGCTGTAATGTTAAGGTGTCGATTTGCCAAATGAACCTCTAGAACTTGGGTCTCATACTATGGATTCCCTCAGCCCATACCATGCTGCATTTGGCCAGACGAAGAAAAAGAAGACCTTTCATTACAGCTATGTAATGATTTAAGAGAAGCCTGGCTTCTGCAAGACATCGGCACAGAAGCTACAGCCCTCCTAAACAAGCAACTGGAGTTCATTCTTGGACCACCAAAGCCCCACTTCTATCTGCTTCCGAATAAAAATTGTACCAAAAGAGTATTTCCAGTTCCCTGGCTTGGCTTCTGCTACCTCAACTAGAAAAGGCATCAAATCCTAATTTAAACAAGGATTGAAAATAACCTGAAGATTTCAAATTTTACTGTCAGTGTTCTCTAACACTAAAGGGTTTGTATGGTCCCTGGAACAGTAGAACCAATAATACAGCATTAGAACATCAAAGCATGGACCAAAGCACCCGATCAGTAAAATATTCCAGTGCTTAGGTGTTTTTTTCTTTTTCTTTGTTTTACCTTTTTTCTCTTGAGAGCACATGGAGGAAAGATGAAAGGAAAGATAACCTGATCATCACCCTGAAATCTGTATGACGGGGAAGCTTTTAATGCTAAGCTATTTTTTTCAAACGCAGGTGAAGCGATATGCAAGCAGCTGAATTGATATATAAAATCAAAAGGAAAAGGGAGTGATATTTTTTAAGACACAAAATAAGAAACTTGGATGATTCCAACTAGTAACAGTATCTATCCAATTTACTCCTTCCTCTCCATCGGGCATCTACTTAGAGCTTTCCAGCATGGGAAAATTGCCTGACTGCTCTGCTGGAATCACAACCAGCAAAAGCTTTATGGACTTTTAGATTTTCCGTTGTTAATTCCTTTGACTGGTTGGTATTCCCTCTGGAGGCAAGCTCTGCTTATCCATTCGCCTAAATAGGACTTAACCAAACAGTTGCCTCAGGTCCCCAGGAAAAGTTGTGACCTTTCTGGCACCTCAGCCGGTTAAGCACTCACTCAGTTTGCAGGGCATGAACCTTATGAACATCCTGACTTGAAGTTTAGCTCTTTAACATCACATGATAACTGAAGCAAACAACAGGCTTTAAAAATACTGCTAACAATCACTTCTTAGTTTGACTAACAGAAGGATACAGATCTACAGATCTATCTTAACAAAAGATCTTCTTTCTATGTGGGATTGCCCAATGCTTAATATTCTTTGGAATCTGTGTAAGAGAGTCATAGTTCACATATGCTGACATAGACCTGCACTGGCACCACCAGCAGGTTTTTCACCATGTCTACCCATTCCCAGCCCTCTGTTGCTTCTTTTCTTATCTTGGCACAAATGTTTGCACAGTCAGAGAATGATGGAAGAACCTCCATGGATGAAACCTAACTCAGCATAAGAAGTTAAAGAATTTAAAAAAAAAAAAGTATATGTCATTTTTGTGACAGACATTTTGCAAGATACCATCATTATAAGTTGGCACATTTTTTTCATTACTTCTCCTAGCTGAAAGCTCCAAAATAAGTTCTAGAGATTGCTTTGCTTAATCTTTCTTCTAAAGCAGAGGTAAGATATAGAGTAGCAATTCTTTTATGGTCTATTCATTCCTTAAAGATATGCTTAGAAAGTACTAGATTATAAGAATTAATAAACCTAATTCATTACCTAAAACTCTGCTACCGCATAAAAGAAAGTGTATCATAAATTGATACACTGTGACATATTCAATAGATTGTCTACTATGCAATAAACAGACATCGTACATCATAAGCTTCTTTTGTTTCTTTCTACCATTAAATTTCTTTTTTAACTAGAAGAAACTACCTATTGGATAGAAGCTGATACCCAGCAAAGTACCTTTTTAATTCTTCTCAAGCAAACATTTGTTTTTGTGTGTAAGATATTATAATGAAAAAGAAATCACATCACAATTATAGTTTTGTATAATACAAAGTAACTCATGCCCATTCCTTTCATATTTTTTGCGAAATCACCTTAATTTGGTATAATTCTACATGGATAGTTAAAATTCCAAGAAAATATCCTGCACACAGAGATGGCAATCTGAATCATTAAAACACTGAAGAATTTGACTAGAAAGAATAATCACATCCATATAATTTCAAACATCAGTTTCCAAAAATACTGGAAACAGAATAATAAAGTTTAATTATGCAATGGTGTTGGGATGCTGCTTAGAATGGTAAAATCACAACAGCAAAGTAAACAATAATGACATGGTAATGGAAGGAACTGCACTGCAAATGAAATATAGGTCAGGCTTTATAAACTACCGAGTTCTTAAATTCCATTTAACTCACAAAACAGATTCATCTAGACTACAGAAACAATCCAGAAATGCTGTAAAATCTAAATTATCGAGTGATTTGTCTAGGTTACAAATTAACTATGCCAGAGTTTAAGAAATTTGATAGTGCTCTGCGTGTACCCAGCCTGATTCTCACATAATTACTGTAATTCATCCAGACTTATTAGTTAAGACACATGAACATATGTGGATAGTTCTCAGAGGCAGCTGAGAAACAAGGTTGCAACTGAACTGTATGACTTCCTACTTACTGGTGCTGCAATACCTTAAGGACCTTCAAGACCACCATCGAAATAAAGCTTCTAATCACAGCACCACAGAACGGCTGATGTTGGAAGGGATTTCTGGAGGTCATCTGGTCCAACCCCACCCCCACCACCCTAGAGCTGGTTGCCTGGGACCACATCCAGACTGCTTCTGAATGCTTCCACAAATCTCCATCCCCCTCATCCTCTCTGGGCCACCTGTGCCAGTTCTCAGTCGCCCTCACAGTGAGAAAGTGTTTCCCGATGTTTAGACGGACCCTTCAGTGTATGCTCACACTAGTCCTGTCACTGGGCACCACTGAAAAGAGCCTGGCTCCCTCTTCGTTACACCCTACTTTATAGCTCCAAGCTGATCCGTGTCACAAGGTGACTCTTTACTGTATTCCGTGCCAGCACACGCCCAGTTTGCGTAATGTCAGGGGGGGTTGTATTTTTTGAGGTTTTAAAGTCTTTTGTTACGCTGGGTAACAGAAGGCTGATTGTCCAAACACCCTGTTGTATTTGCCTGGTCGCCAAACAGCCCGCAGGGAAGACAGTGGCTATGGGGCGTAAGTCAGCCAGCTATCCCTAACGCAGATACTACTCTGAAGGGCTTTTGAAACAAACAAATCAGATACAAATCAGATGGCAAGTGATCCTATCCTGAAAAATGACCACAAGCAAATTAGGATTTCATTACTGAGAAAACAATTAAGAATGTTAGTCCCTCACATAAGGCAAACAAGCAAACAAGTAAACAATCTCACTGCACAGACTCAGCTCCAACCAGCTCTAACTTTTAATTTTCATTTACTATTTCTAATTTACTATTTTTTCCTTTGTTTTGAGAAGGCTGTATCCCAAGGAAAAAATAGTAAATGATGGAATTTGTTGCCCATTCGGGCATACTCTTTACTTATGCAACTTGATGCTTCCTACAGTCAATAACTATAACCCATCACAGCTAAAGCAAACTTTCATAAAACTGGATGTTTTTTTCCGAAGATATTGAAATAAAGCAGATATACATTATAAAGTCTTAAATAAATACAAATAATTGTTACATCTGCTGGTAGTTAGCAATGTCTTTAAAAATACCAGGTTTGTGAAAAATGTTCCACTAAAATAATTTTTTTAAAGTTACATGAAAGTTGGCCAAGTACACAGGAAGCTGGATAGAGGCGTCCATGAAAACTAAGGATATGCAATGATACGACAGTGAGAGTTTTCCCTTTTCTATGTTGTTGTTGGAAAAAATAAATCAGTTAGTTAGTCATTGTAAAAAAAAAAATCTCCTTACTGTGAAACTTCCATTTATTCCCATGTTTTGCTGTAGTCAGTAAATAGGACAGGTATCTAACACAGTCTTGCTAATCATATGGATTTATCAGATAGATGAAAATTCTACTTGGACCTCATTATCATAAGAACGATAATGATGAAAAAATGACCCTTCCCTCCACCACCACTACCACTTTTCTGCACTTTCATCCTTTGCGTTCATACTTTCTGTCTCTAGGACTTGCCACATGTATTTTGCATCCAATGCACAACTTACACCAACATTAAACCGTGAAGATCCTCTCTTCACATAGAAGCAGGACAGAGAGATGCCTGTGGTCTAGACCAAATCACTTTTCCAAGTTCTGAGTTCTATCCAGATCACTTTCAGGGGAATAGTTATTACCCAAT